AGCCGTCGATGGTTTTTGCTAGCACAAGTTCACAAGCCACTGTGACCGAGGGTTTGACCGTACTAACCTGGTTCGGATGATGCACCCAGAAAAGTAACTGGTAACACAATATTGGAAAGTTGAGTTAGATTACCACTACAATAGATTGGTGTACTCGGAACAAATGAGTCAGCTAATATATATGCACGGCAAAGAAAGAAAGAAAGAAAGAAAGAAAGAAAGAAAGAAAGAAAGAAAGAAAGAAAGAAAGAAAGAAAGAAAGAAAGAAAAGGAAAAGAAAGAAAGGAAGAAAGAAAGAAAAAAGGGAAAAAAGGAAAAAGAAAGAAAAAAGGAAAAGAAAGAAAAAAGGGAAAAGAAAGAAAAAGAAATAAAGAAAAAGAAAGAAAGAAAAAGAAAAGAAATAAAGAAAAAAGGAAGAAAAATGGAAAAAGAAACAAAGAAAGAAAGAAAAAGAAAGAAAAGGAAAAAGAAAGAAAAGGAAAAAGAAAGAAAGAAAGGAAAGAAAAGGAAAAAGAAAGAAAGAAAGAAAAGGGGAAAAGAAATAAAGAAAAGAAGGAAAAATTAAGAAGAAAGGAAAAAGAAAGAAAAAAAGAAATAAAGAAAAAAGGAAGAAAAATGGAAAAAGAAACAGAGAAACAAAGAAAAGAAAAAAGAAAGAAAAAGAAAGAAAGAAAGAAAGAAAGAAAAACGGAAAAAGAAAGAAAGAAAATAGGGAAAAATAGGAAAAAAGAAATAAAAAAGGGAAAAGAAAGAAAAATAAAGAAAAGGAAAAAGAAAGAAAGAAGAAAAAGAAATAAAGAAAAAAGGAAGAAAAATGGAAAAATAAAGAATTTTTCTGTGTTATTTTACTGAAAACGAAATCAGCCTATCGAGATTGAACTCAAATGCTCTCTTATATTTGAAAAGGTTATTTTTTGGGGGGGGAGGGGTATACGTATTGGAGACTACATTACGATTTTTTTTTTTCCTTAAATAATGAAATTACTGTCAGCCGTCCTACATCGAAAAGTACTACGATAGAAAAATGTGCCTCCCCGGCGGGAATGGAGTCTCCATTCCTGTTTTTTCTTTTTCTTCTTTTTTTTTCTTTCAAAATGGACAAATTCTTCTATGGTTGAAACATGCTATCACCAATCTGACAACAAGAGACCGTCATGTTAAGGTAAGGCTTAATTACCTACTTAATGAATGCACATCTCGCCTGTGGAACGAATCTATAACTACTAGCCTTGTTTTCCTATCGGAAGACACATATTCTTTAGTAGGACTCTTCCATCTAGGCCGGTTGACATTAATTTCATTGTTTAAGAAAATAAAAAAAAGACAACGGGGATGCCAACAAAATCACGTATAGCCACTAAAAATAACTTTTGTCCTGATGAGAAATAAAGTCGCATTAAAAATAAATTCTATTTAAAAATTTGAAAATGTCTTATCGTGTGTATTCCACAATAGTTGCAACCATGAAATTAAACTCTTAATATATCTAATGAAGAAGAGTAAGTAACTGAGCACACAAAGTAACAAACTATCCTATTCCTACCTTACTACCGGGTCATTAATTATAAAAAGAAAAGATGTCTTCTCGTATAGGCTCTATTCGTGTTTCAGTATATAGGAACATTTACAAGATCTTAGTTTTACCTAATGTTGGCTAAAATTCTTTTATTTGCCTCTAAACTAGACCGAGGCGCGGTTGGTGTAATGGATATCGCGGAAAGTGGATTAGACTTGTCGAGTTCAATTATCGCTCGATTTCATTTCGTCCACTTCCATCTAATGCCTCCTGGAAAAGCACGAATCCATCTTCCTGCATCTATGTGTTAAATAGCAGGGTACACTGGACTCTCTTGCCTAGAGGAACCAACCAATCTAGGAAAAAGAAAAGTCTAGATTCAAGACCATCCTGAAGAGGGTTGTGCTCCGTCAGGCTATCTTGCCCTAGACACACCACTCCTGATTTGGTTGCAATAGAAGTGATGCCTCTATAATGATAATGGGTCTCGGAACACGTTACGGGGGAGTTTTCCGAACATTAAACTTTTGATTTAAAGTAAGACTTGAAATCTATGTAAAATGTTCAGGAGACTTGTCAGCGAAATGGTGGGGTGGTAGCCTAGCAGTTATCGAAAAAGCAAAATCGTTGAGCCGCGTTCATATTTTTGTCTAGTTTATTCAGTTCACTTTCGAAATAACAATCTTTGAAAAGGCATGAAACTGTTCCACCTACCGACCAAGGTTTTGATTAAATAGTAGGGCAGACTGGGGTCTCTAGCTTTGGAATTCGGCCAATTTAGGAGAAAGGTTAACTGTGGTGAAGGCAACGATTAAACACTCAGCTATATTTTCCAGGAAGATACGGGATTTCATAGAAAAAAGGAGACAGTGGGGAGCCATGATCGCCTACGCTCCGAAGAGATAAAGAAAAATTCGAAGAACTCACAAAGCTCAGGCCCTGATAAGGGGTTTGGTGTTTAGAAATCCAGTGGAATTTTTTTGTATTTTATTTTATTTTTTATGAAACCACACTGCTTTTTCTGTGAGATATTTTGTCCCAAGATAAAACAAAAGACTTGGAAGTTTCGAATCACAACTTAAAAAAAAAACACACACACACACACACACATATATATATATATATATATATATATATATATATATATATATATATATATATATATAATATAAAACAGACCCGTTCGACTATACAAACAGACCACACAGACATTTTGCAGTAACCAAATTTTAGATTGCTAAGTTAAACAAGTACAATTTTACTTTTCTGCGAGGCTATCTTTGCATCATGTGATGAATTAATAGTTGTTTATCTGACTCTCCTCAAAGACAGCTGCCAGCATTTAGTCGGATTATAGAAAGCTTCAACTTTGGAACATAATATTGGGCATGCAGAGATTTTTTTTTAATTTTTAAACAGATACTTTCCAGAATATAAGCATTCTTATTCTTTATATATAAGATATATAAGATGATTTATCCTTACAAATCAGTGCATCTTGTTTTATTTCTCGCCAGTGTTTTTCGTTGTTTCTTACAGATTTTGTTGAAGGACGTACGCGTGGTTAGAACATTCGCATTCTGACCATGAGACCCCGGTTCGAATCTCACCATGGTCGATTTCGTCAAAAAGGAGACTTCTTAATGTTCCCGGACTGGAGGGGTCGATCCCAGCGTGCGTTTGGTTGGTTTGTTTTGTTTTACGGCATATCAGCACCTCAATGGGTTATTTAATGACGAGAAGATTTTTATTGCTGGTAATATTTTCTTTCTTTCTTTCTTTCTATCTATCTCTCTTCTTTCTTCTCTCTCTCTCTCTCTCTCTCTCTATATATATATATATATATATATATATATATATATATATATATATATATATCGATTTGGTTTGTTTTGTTTTACGGCATATCAACCTTAATATTTAATGCCGACAAGATTATTATTGCTGACAATATTTTTTTCAAATGTATTGCTGGTTGTTGTGGTAGGATCCACCTAATTTGCATAGTGGAGTACCGACCATATAAATATGGTTGGTACCGGGAAGAGAGGGAGGAATCAAGAGATTCAACCAGAGACTCTGCCCGACTGCGACTCAGTCAACACATTCTCCAGGAACGGTCTTACCAGGAATATACAAAAGACTATATGTAAATATTGTGTACACTTTCTTGTTTCAATACATTTTGTTCTAAGTACATTTTGTGTTGTATTATTATTCCATGCATTAGGCAAGTTTCAACACTGGTAATTTTTTTTTTACTCCAAAAATCTATTTCTGAAAATGTTTTGTCTTCAAAAATGTACCGCTAGTAATTTTTTTTCAAAAAAGTATAGCTAGTAATATCTTTTTTCAAAAATATTGCTCGTAATAACTTTTTTTACAAAGTATTTCTAGTATTAAAAGCTGTTTTAATACTTTCATAGTGTTTTGCCCCAGTTTGGGTGTTAACTATTTACCCATAGCTGGGACCCTAACAGGTGCTACCACCCCGGATCTGGGTGGACCTAAGGAACAGCAGCAATTAAGAGGTGGTTCCACGCTCTTCAAAACCTCCTGATCAGATGCTTCGCTGTTGGACGTAGTTTATCGTTTTACCCGGGACGCAGATGTAGTTTATGGTCATATCGAGGACGGCCCAGCGTGCGACACCTTTGGAAAGTGCCTGAAGCCCATACCACGGGTTGACCTAAGCCTCGTGAGTGAAATTGGGTTGACGGAACACATACGGCTTGAGCATGCTGGCCTTGTTCAAAGTGTTGATCACGCTAGATAACATGCTCTTTCCCAGAAACTGTAACAAAGGTCTGCTCAGCATAGTTGCAGTATAAACCACAGGTGGGCTCTGTGGGTGTTGAACAAACACAAATGTGCCTCAGCAAGCGTCTGCAATAGGGATTGGCTAGCCACCCTAGTAGACGGGTATTCTCGAATACGAGTGGCCAGCTATACTTACACATACAGATCTTGTTTGCAACATGGTTAATAAAATAATTAAAGATATCGTTGCTAAACCTTTTGTGGGTGATGCTTGTAGTATGAAGTGGATAGATACTGAATTAGAAAAAAAGAAAGAAAGACAGAAAAGGGGAAAGAAAGAAAGAAAGAAAGAAAGAAAGAAAGAAAGAAAGAAAAAGAAGATTCAAATGAAGGAAACGATGAAAGGAAAATGAATACTAAAAATAAAAGAAAGAAAGGAAAGGAGAGAAGAAAAGTAGAAAGAAAGAAAAGAAAGAAAGAAAGAAAGAAAGAAAGAAAGAGAAAATTCAAATGAAGGAAACGATGAAAGAATACTAAAATGAAAGAAAGAAAGAAGGAAAATAAGAAAGAAAGAAAGAAAGAAAGAAAGACAGAAAGAAAGAAAGAATGAAAATAAGAAAGAAAGAAAAGGAGAGAAGAGAAGAAAAAGAAAGATAAAACAAAAGAAAGAAAGAGAAGAAAAGTAAGAAAACAAAGACAAAAGAAAGAATTCAAACGAAGGAAAAAGGAAACGATAAAAAGAAGAGAATATTAAAAATGCAAAAAGAAAGAAAGAAAGAAAGAAAGAGAGAGAGAAAGAGAGAAAAGAAAGAAAGAGAGAAAAGAAAGATAGAAGAAGAGAGAGACAGAGAAAGAAAGAAAAGAAAGAAAGAAAGAGAAAAAATTCAAAAGATGTATTTATTTACGTATGATGAGTGCGACCCGATTACGATCAAAGCCATCACTTGATCCCTCTTCAAATATGAACGGCACCGATGCGGCTTTTTACTCCTGCTAGAGTCTTACATTCTCTTGCACAGATGCGGCAATGTTGTGCGTCTTTTGAAGTAATATTAATGCGATGTAACAACTATTGCAATTGAATCCCAGCCAACATATATGCATGCAGGGATGTGGTTAATGGGGATAGAAATAGATTAAACAGATATTCTCCGATTTTAGAAAATTCGTTTTAAGGTCACTTCGCTTTTACGAAAGACCAACTTTTGACTTGGATTGTAAGAATCTTTGGGAGATAATAATGATTTACTCATGCTACTAATTAATCCATAGCTGGGGAGAAAAGAGGTGGATTCATAAATTCCACAAGGGTATTTGCGCGTAAGCACCTCGGCATGGTGTAATGGTTAGCAAGATTGTCTCGCTAAAATAGTTATGACTGAATAGTGAGTTCGATTCTCACTGGGTGTCCCATACTTTCGTTCTTGTGACACATCTAAGCTACACTTAGAAAATCCATATATTTCGGTGCTCTCCCCCACCGGATTCTTCCGGAAGGATTGGCAGAGGAGGAGAAGGGTTTTTTTTTCCGTCGGAGTAGATGTTGTGGTTGTAGTATCTGTTCCGTTCCGGAGGCCATCTCTCCTCACTTGCGTACCCCCGCCCCCACCGTTGCGTGACATCTGTTACGTAGCGGTGGTATGACCGGCTATGACTAGCTTAGACAAGCTCTGACCAGCATAGACCAGCTTCGACAAGCTAAGACCAGCTTCAACAAGCTAAGACCTGCTTAGACCGGTAACCCGAGTGTTTCCACTCGGGTCCCCACGTTGGAAACCGACGTGTCACAACCTGGCTCAGTAGTTCAAGATAAATCTGATTCCCAATACCGAGCCGATATCCATTACGCGCCCGCACAGACAATCTTACGGCAACTGGTATTCCCAAGCGGTCACCCATCTAAGTACTGAAAGGCTCGACATTATTTAACTTCGGTGGTCGGACGAGAACCGGTGCCTCAACGTGATTTAGCCGTAAGCGAGAATGGAGAAAAGCTTTGTTTCTTGCCGTTTTAAACTAAATAGAAGCAAAGGATGATGAAATATTTTAATAAGCGAAATTTTAACTGTACCTGACATATTTAATTTACAATAAACGAAATAAATATTATTTTAATAATATTTTAGCAATAGCTGTCATATTTGATAATAATGACATATTTTTATAAATTAAATGCTTTCGACAGAATTATTTACTTATAATAATTAAAATAATATCTTAATACCTTAGAAGTTGTTGTTACTTTATAGAAACTGGATAACAGTTTAATAAAATTTAGTTATTTAAATAGTTCTTATCTCATTACAATAAATTAAATGTGATAAATTTTATAAAATATATTAAATAAATTAAAATGTCATTATTAAGGCATGAACGTGAAAACAAAATGGGAGAATTTCACAGAAAGAGTTTAACGAAAACTTAAAAGAGGATTGACCAGCAAGAAAATATTTGAAGCTGGTCAATTTAAACAGAGAAAAAAGATGCCGAATATTAGACATTTTTTAAAGACGTTGAAACTACTACATTTACGTAAATATCACAAAAAATAAACCTAGGAAGTGCAAAGACGTACATGAAAACTGATTTGTCAAAAAGTAATTTTTAACGATGAATGTAGAGCTATATTGGTTTGGTTTGTCTGTTTTTTTTTTTTGTTTTTTTACGGCATATCAACCTCTATGGGTTATTTAACGCCGATATGATTTTTAGTGCAGGTAATATTTTTCTTCAAAAATGTATTGCTGGTTATATGTTGTTTTTTTTTCCAAAAAAATTTATGGCTGGTAATATTCTTTTACAAAAATGTATTGCTGGCATTATAACCTATTTTCACACTTTCATAGCGTTTTGACCGCAGTTTGGGGTAAATTATTTGCCTAGAACTGGGTACTTAACAGATACTACCACCCCGAGTCAGGGTGGACTTGGAAACACCAGCAATCAAGAGGTGTTTCCAGGCTCCTCAAAACGTCCTGATTAGAGGTCTTTCTGTCGGATATGGTTTATCGTCTTACCCAGGAGGCCTGATTGGGAGTGGATCTTACCCCTCTTCAGAGGTGCAGTCGGCGTGTTCTGAAACCCCATCCGATAGGGTGGATGCATATGTTTGGTGTTCAGCAATTAAGAGGTGGTTCCACGCCCCTCAAAACGTCCTGATCAGAGGTCTTGCTGCCGGATGCAGTTTATCATCATACAAAGGATGTAGATGTAGTTTGTTGTCATACTCAGGACTCATCATTGGAAGGAGGGTCCTACCTCTCTGCAGAGGTGCCGTCGGCGTATTCTGAAACCCCAGCTGACAGAGCGGGAGTTACATTGGATGGACCGGTTAGTAGTTTGGGTCGTTTATGAAAATCGCCAGCCGAAATGATTTAGAATAAAGGTTAAAACTGGAATAAAATTTTGAGCTGTCATTGTAAGGAATTAAAATTATATGCACCACTCAAATTGATGATGGTATCAAAATAAAGGCAGTGAATTATTGTATGTTCTTCGACAAGGCGTTTTTAGCGCTGCAGTAGACAAATAAGAGGCCTTACCCCAGTAATTTTCAACCGCTGTGTTCGGGCTCACTAGTGTGCCGTGCGATTCTTTTAAGTGTGCCACGAAATTAATTAAAACAAAACGAATGATTCCGTTATTATTTAATTTTTCATATTTTTCCAATGAAACATAACTGAGTCCACATGTTAGTACTTCGTATGTCCATTCCACGAGATCTCTTCTTGCAGATTGACCACAGGTTCTCGACTGGATATAAATCAGGAGAGTTTCCGGGCCAATCTATCAGGTCATCCCATAAGTTCTGTCCGAATTTTGAATAAAGAAAACAAGTGACCAAATGTTACATTTAATTACAGATTCAATCAACAATGTATTTTCCCTGATTATCTATGACTTCCTTCCATCTATTAACAAGCTTACTAATTCCATTACTGTAAAATTCTTTTAAATGTCAGTTTTAACCTCTTCCTCTGTTACAAAAGCTGTTTCTTCCAAATGATTCTGTAAGCTACGAAACAAATGGTAGTCTGAAGGAGCAAGATCGGGAGAATAAGGTGGATGAGGAATTTTCTTCCAACCAAGTTCTTCGATCTTTTGTGACGTGATTCTTGCTGTGTGGGGTCGCGCATTGTCCTGATGAAACATCACCTCCTTTTGATTCACTATAGCAGGTCTTTTTTCCCCAAAGCTTGGTTTAAACGCTCTAATTGCTGACAGTATATTTGAGCATTGATTGTTGCATTAGGTGGTAAGAATTCAAAGTGGATTATCCCTTGGCGATCCCACCAGATTGAAAGAAGAACCTTTTGCCCATGAAATTTCCTTCTCGGCTGTGGCTGGGGTCCTTCCCCTTTACCAAGCCACTGTCTACGACGCTTAAAATTTCGATAAAAGATCCATTTTTCGTCACCAGTCACAAGTCTATCCAAAAAAGGTGAAACAAGTTGGCAAGAATGGAGAGAAGAGCAGATGTCAACTCGGGATTTGAGGTTGTTTTCAGACAATTCAAGAGGCACCCATTTTCCAAGTTTAGGAACTTTTCCAAGCTGTTGAAGATGAAGATGAACAGTTGTATGGTTTGAACTGAGAACCACTGCCAATTCCTCAACTGATAAAGCAGGATTTTCTTCAAGGGCTGCTTCAAGAAGCTTTTCATCAAACTCAACTGGACGCCCGGTTCGATCTTCATCTTCAAGGGTGAAATCTGCACCTCTGAATTTTGCAAACCATCTTCTGCAAGTTCTTTCATTCACACATTCTTCTCCATAAACTGAGTGAATGTTTCTATCCGCTTCGGCTGCTGAGTTTCCTTTCTTGAACTCATAAAACATTATGTGCCTCAAATGATTCTTGGGTACTTCCATGTTAGCAGGGTTTTAATCAAACAAAATTTTATTTTATTTTTCTCTGAAATAAAATTTGATCAGTTTAAATGCATCGAAACATAAAAAATAATGTTCAGCTCCATTAGACATTATAAAATACTCTTCAAATTTCGTTCATTTTAACAAAAAGTTAAAATTCGGACAGAACTTATGGGATGACCTGATATTTGCTCACTGGCAAAGCTTGCCAATTTGTTTGTGCAGCGTTACAATTTTTGTACGCTCCCTTGAAGTAAGGTTCATTGCAGACAATGGCCGTAGGACAACTAATCGACAGTCGAGACAATAGTGTCTGGGCTTGATAAAAATCTGATGCGATCACGGTTGACGCATTATTTTTCAAGGCCAAACAAATTTCATCATACACCCCGAAAATAAATTCCTATTACTGCACACCACTGCAAATTAATTAATCTGAGGAAAAAATAGAAATCGATTGCATCTTGTCACACAATGAGCCCAGAACTGACTGTATAGTGAAAGAAAAGAAACTGAAGCGATTGTTTCAATTAATTTTCACAAGTGTGTAAATACGCATCGCAAAATAAAATCCTCACATTTGAGTTGATAAAGTCGCTCAGCGGACAAAATACGTCGGCTAAGATAAGTTTTCCTTTTGTTTTTATTCATATAATATATTATAATAATTTATACAATAATAATAATATAATACAATATTTAATACAATAATATCAAAATTATCTTATGTGTGCCGCAAAATATTACCACGGCATACATATGTTTGTCTGTGTGGAAGTAATTATAAATGAATAAGTATTAAACTTTTTATCCCACATTAGCTAAAATGGTTTTATCAGTTTTATTGCAATTTTCTACTTTTTATTTAATGTGAATTAGGCTTCTCAACCCTAAATAACAAAAAATAAGCTCAACTGAAGAAGAAGAAATGAGAGTTTGTTTACCGCATATTCAGCCAAACATTGAAGAAATCACGAAAACACCAGGCATAGGTTTCACACTAAATACGCTTCACAAATATTTGAATAGAAACATTGAAATAAAGTAAGTTCATATTTGCGTATTTATTTTTTAAATCTATGCTTTGACTTCATAACATTTATATGTATAGCCTTTAAAACTTTTGCTAAACGTGCCGTGATATTCTCATTTGCTTCTAAGGTGTGTCGTTGCTTAAAAATGTTGAGAAACTCTGCTTTAACCTAAAGTGTATATGCATGCAAGTCAATTTTCTTTCATATATTGAAAAAGCTTCATATTGCCGTTCTTACAAAATTTCTTAAAAACCGTAAAGTAATAGAATATTCATCAGCCCCCCACCCACACACACACATACCCATATTAATCTAATAGAAATAGATGTATATAGAAATGTGGAATAGTATTCAAAAAATGTTTTCTAGGATGCCAAAAAGACTGAAGAAAAGAAAGTGTTGAAGTCGAAACAGTAGAAAATTTATAAAAAGCAACGATTGAACGACTGTCGGATGTTAGAAAAAATGTCAAAGAATAATGAACAGAATGAGACGGAGAGGCACTAAGCTGTGTAAATATCGTTAAATATGTCTATTTTCTTCGAATCTATTCATCTCAATCTGTTTAGATAGATACATAGATAAAGATAGATAGATAGATAGATAGATAGATAGATAGATGTAAAGATAGATAGAAAGAGATACAAGATAGATATGAAGAGACTGCCATAGATAGATAGATAGATAGATAGATAGATAGATAGATAGATAGATAGATAGATAGATAGATAGATGTAAACAGAGTGGGATAGATTAAACGATAGATATGAACAGAGATAGATAGATAGATAGATAGATAGATAGATAGATAGATAGATAGATAGATAGATAGATAGATAGATGAACAGATAGATAGATAGATGTAAACAGATAGATAGATAGATAATAGATGATAGATGATAGATAGATGTAAAGAGACTGAACATCGATAGATAGATAGATAGATAGATAGATGAAGATAAACAGATAGATAGATAGATAGATAGATAGATGATAATGAATAGGCAGATAGATAGATAGATAGATAGATAGATGTAAAGATAGATGAAAGATAGATAGATAGATAGAGAGACTGAAGAGATACATCGATAGATAGATATAGATAGAGATAGATAGATAGATAGATAGATAGATAGATGTAAACAGACTGTTATAGATTAAATGACAGATATGAACAGACTGAGATAGATAGATAGATAGATAGATAGATAGATAGATAGATAGATAGATAGATAGATGTAAACAGAGTGGGATAGATTAAACGATAGATATGAACAGACTGACATAGATAGATAGATAGATAGATAGATAGATAGATAGATAGATAGATAGATAGATATTAAAAATGTAAATAAACCAGAATGGGTTAAGCTCTAAAAGAAACAAATCAATCAATCCATTGTATTTATCTGCTTCAAACATCTCCGTCTATAAAGTGCATATTGTGACTATCCCTCGTTCAGGTCTTCGTTATTTGTGTGTTTGACCACACGATTACCTTTATGTATGTCTGTAATTGTATATTTATATACATACACATACAATAATGTGTATTACAACATATAGCGTTTGAAGTAATTAAAAAATCTGTCGGATTAAAAGTAAAAAAATCTGTCGGATTAAAAAATAAAACACATTCATTCTCTAGAAATTGCTTTGTTTCCGTTTCGGATACGAAACTAAGCAGATATGCGTTTCGTGAGAAAAAATCTGAACGAGTAAGTGTGCTTTAAAATTGAATAGAACCCTGCTTTACTATGAAGCACGCTGTGGCTGAGCGGTAAATGCACGCCGGATCAAAACAGAGAAGAAGTTGCGAATTCTCTAAGCTTTTCTCGATTATACAAGAGGTTAAACGAAATACAGTTTAAAATGTTGTTCTCTCTCTCTCTCTCTCTCTCTCTCTCTCTCTCTCGCACTCTATCTATCTATCTATCTATCTATCTATCTATCTATCTATCTATCTATCTGCTCTGTTCACATCTATCTATCTATCTATCTATCTATATATATATATATATATATATATATATATATATATATATATATATATATATAGTCGACTCTCCTGTCGAATTCGACGTATGAGGGTCAGGCAGATCAGTTCCCAGGAAACCGACAGCCCGACAACAGCACAAGAGATTTGATTATAGTGGTGAAGGCCTCGTGCAGGACCATCCACACTTTTGAAGGGCTGAATTCAGAGACCTGGTGCACTATGCCACAAGGTCCCCAAACGACCATCCGCAGGTTTTGAATTCAGAGTTGTTCTTCTCCTAGACCAGTTGCCATCCAAGGCTATAGAACCCAGTCTGTCCTGCTATTTTACCCATAGCTGGAGGGAGAACAAGAGGATTCACCTTTCCCAAGGATATTTCCGTAAGTGAATGTATATATATATATATATATATATATATATATATATATATATATATATATATATATATATATGAAAATGAAAATATATAGAAGAGAGGAAAGAGCTCATTAGGTAAATAATCCAAAGTTCTTTAATATTTTGTTATTATTTTAAAATAGTGCTCAATACAAAAAATATATATATATATATATATATATATATATATATATATATATATATATATATATATATACCACTCTGTTCATATCTATCTATCTATCTATCTCGCCCTGCTCACATCTATTTCAGTTCACATATGTCTGTCTTTTCCCATCACTCTCTTATTACTACAGTCTGTTCATAACTATCTATCTCTGTCCAATTATTTCTTTCTCTCTCTCCCTCTCTCTCTCTCTCTTGCACTATCTATCTATCTATCTATCTATCTATCTATCTATCTATCTAAATCTGTCCATTATATATCAGTCTATATCAGTCTGTTATATACTGTATAACATTATATATAACTATGTTAATATATCTCACTTCATCTCTATCTATTTCGTTTTGTTCATATTTATCCCATTCTGTTCATATATGTTTTCAGTCTCTTTTTATTCATGGTTATCTATCTATCTATCTATCTATCTATCTATCTATCTATCTATCTCGCTCCGTTTATATGTATGTGTGTATGTATGTATCTATCTATCTATCTATCTCGCTCCGTTTATATGTATGTATGTATCTATCTATCTATCTATCTATCTATCTATCTATCTATCTATCTATCTATCTCGCTCCGTTTATATCTATCTATCTATCTATCTATCTATCTATCTATCTATCTCGCTCCGTTTATATCTATCTATCTATCTATCTATCTATCTATCTCGCCCCGTTTATATGTATGTATGTATGTATGTATGTATGTATCTATCTATCTATCTATCTCGCTCCGTTTATATGTATCTATCTATCTATCTATCTATCTATCTCGCTCCGTTTATATGTATGTATATATGTATGTATGTATGTATGTATCTATCTATCTATCTATCTATCTCGCTCCGTTTATATGTATGCATGTATGTATGTATCTATCTATCTATCTCGCTCCGTTTATATGTATGCATGTATGTATCTATCTATCTATCTATCTCGCTCCGTTTATATGTATATATGTATGTATGTATGTATGTATGTATGTATGTATGTATCTATCTATCTATCTATCTATCTCGCTCCGTTTATATGTATGTATGTATGTATCTATCTATCTATCTATCTATCTATCTATCTATCTATCTATTTCGCTGCCCGTCTGTCTCAGTCGCTCGCAACTATTTTCTAAATCTTTGCCAATACTTTAATCATGCTGAGCTGGTTCTTATGCAAATATCTGCCTTTCTATCTATCTTTTTTTTTTCCCACGTCTTTCTCATTGACATTTTCATTCAACTGGGTTTCCTTCCACCCTCTACTTCCCCCGTTCCATAACATAGCTTTACCCTAAAACCCCCATGATAGTTGCCCAGACTTGTTTGTGGCATTTTAATGAAATTCAGTCGGCTTGTAACTTTTGCACAACAAAGTGTACTTCCACCCACTTCTCGAAACTACTTTTTTTTTTTTCTTTGTACAAATAAAATTGTGTTTTTATTTCCTAATATGGCGTAATCTTCTCTAGCAAATAAAACCAGCGTTATGTATCCACAAATCCGAAGTTTTAGTTTAGGTGCAAGAGGTAAGAACAATGATTATTACTTGTGGTTTTTCATGTCGACACTGCTATTTCCAGGAGAGAGATTTGCAAACTACCACCGGAAGAAAGATACGAACAATGCATTTTGAATTGATTCAGGATAAAGATTAGAAGACGCAGAAGAATTTAGAAATGTTTGATAATAAAAACAAAAAACAAAAAGAGGAAATTAGAAATCTTACAAAATGGAATTATTAGGGAAATAATAAATATTTATAAAAATTAGCAAAGAAAGATTTGTTTCTTTTTTGTTTTTGTTTTTTATATATATATTTTAAGCATTTCACCCCAAGCAAGGCGGGATGCCACTAGTAGGCAAGGGGTTACAGAGAGTGGGATCAAGAATAAAGAGGCGTGATAGAGGAAAGGATGAAGAGAAGGACAAGGAATATGTCAAGGCATCTGGAGATGTCGATTGACATTACATCTGAATATTTGGAAATTATAGCTATCAGAAAAATAATTATTAGGAAGGGAATTCCACAGGCGGGAGGTGCGAGACAGGAAGCTATTGGAGTAGAAGAGACGGCCACATTTAACCGTTTCGACAGTGAAACCGTGATGCCAGACTAGTAGCACGTTTAAATTCATCAGTCTAGCGAAAATAGCTCGTCGAAGCAGTTACCGTGAAAGTATTTGTAGAAAAGACAGAGGGAGGCGACAGCACGTCTGTGGGAGAGCGACTGTAGACGAGATGCCAGATCAGGACCAATCACATTGCATATCCGTCTCTGGATTTTGTCGAGGACCTTAAGACGAAGAGCGGAGGCTCCAGACCATATATGGCAGCAGTATTCCATGTAAGGGGGAATGGTTGATTTATAGAATTGAAAAATGGACTCGGGCGAGAAAAACCTTTTGGTGAGACACAGGGAACCAACTTTCCTTGCGGTGGATGAAGCAATTGATTCAATGTAATTTCTCCATCTCAGGTCAGCTGACAGTGTGAAAGCAAGCAGTGGCAAACTGCCGTGGAGTTGAGCATCAGACATTCTAATACGTGGCAGGGATGGTTCCCTGTTAGAGAGCAGTTTTGTTTTAGAGACATTAAAGTTAACCAGCCAATTCCTGCCCCAGTCTACAACCGATCGGAGGCCCTTTTCGAGACTACAAAAACCAGGAAACAGAAAAAAAAATTTTATAAAAATTTGAAGACGAAGAAGAAATTAGAAAAACTTGAAAAAGAAAAAGAATTTAGAAAAATTAGAGGGGGAAAAAGAAAAATTAAGAATTTCGAAATCTTAAAAAAGGAAGAACTTCGAGAAACCATAAAAAATTAGGAAAATAAGAAGACGAAGAATAAGAATTTACAAAAATTAGGAAATAAAGAAAGATTTTGAACAATTTTGAAAATTAGAAAAAAAAAATTAGAAAACTGGATGAGGAAGGCACACTTTTTCAACTTTACGCCTAGAGGCTGTAGCCCAACATATCAAAACAGTTTGGAAACAGGACGACTCCACAAGCAAATTAAAACCATTCCGGGCCAGATTCGGAGCTACGATTCTGAAATTCTGGATTTCCAACTTTTCATTCCTACGATTGTTTTCGACGATTTTTTTACGTGATTTTTCGCGACGAATTTCTTTGTCCGATAACAATACTCATAACTTGGAAATAAATTTGGGAATAACCGAAATTATTTTCGAAATCCGGCGAAAATCACCCATGAAATAAAAGTAATTGTTTGTACTTCAAGTCGGAACCTACGTACATCAAATTGTCTTTAAATTAAAATGGCAGCAAAAGAATTATTGTTGGACGTTTAGAAGGTAAGATTGAATATTAATGCTATACTTAAATGCAGCAATCAATTTTGAGTTCTTCTGTAGTTTATTGTTGCTTATCGCATACGGCAGCAGTACGCCTCGCAAAAAGAAAGATCCATCAAAAGAGGACTGGATTGTAATTAATAGATCCAAGACTGCAGTGAAGAAAAGAAAATACCGTGCAAATGAAAACCCAGATCAAATGGCAGCTAGAAGAGTTTCCAATGCTAAGAATATGCAGAGACTTAGGGACACTCTAACAAGCCAAATTCCCAATCAAGAGCCCTTCGCAGGAGCTAGCTTAAATTCCGCCCTATAGGCTATTATAGTATAAAGTTTATTCTGCAACTATACTGCGAAGAAGCAAAAATGTGCCTGAGTGATCGTCTTTAACAAGAAATAGCTATTCTATTAATACGAGTAACCATTTATTAAATATCCCTATCTTTAACTATATTTATAAAATTCTTGTTCTAATCTTTGTTGTTACCATGACAACGTTTCGGCCGTCGTACCCCGGGTTTTTTTTTTCAGGGGTCTCTCGTCCCGGGTAACCTTTAATGAATTTCGAATAAACACTTTATTTAATCTACGGAGATAGATTTTCTCGTTCTGATGTCCACGTCTAAGGATATCATGTCTTGTCCTTTATTTAGTAGAGTTCAATTATTGCAAGTTCTGTCTCTTGAGTTTGATATTGTACTGGCCAGCCCAGTAGTTAAACTTATGCTATCAAATTTGATGTTCAAATCTAAGTTCACGGAAACAAAACTTCAAAAGTAAGAATGTTCGTCCAAATAATAAGTAGACCGTCTAGAGAACGCATCGGCCGGAATGTTCTAATAAAAATTAGAGTACGAGGCCTAAGAATTTATAGGGTGATTTTAAATCACTTGTGAAGAGAGCCTTTCTTTTCGAAGGTTCTCAGCAAATCTGTTTAATATGAAATGGAAGTCGAGACGATGTGGGTGGTTTTCTCTTCTTTTTTTTCCGAATAGATGAGCTTTAAAATAAAAGTTGGAATATCTTTTAAATGAATACGAGTCTGTGTGAAAGATCAAAGATATTTTTGTTCACCTTGTTTCTTTTCTTCTTCATTTAAATATCAATGGTATTTCGTCTGTACCTGAAGTGCACACAAACCATTCAGTGTCCCCCACCCCCAACCCGGACAACGCAACGTATCTCAATATGATTTATTTTCTTCTTTTATTGACATTTCTATTTTTTTTTTCTTTTTTTTTTTTTTTACCTTTCATTTTTTATTTATTTATTCTTGGATGCTTCTTCATTTTTCTGAGTTTTTCTTTTCCTCTTCTTTATTCTTTCTTTCTTTTCTTTTTTCTTTCTTTCTTTCTTTCTTTCTTTTCATTTTTCTTTCTTTCTTTCTTTTTTCTTTATTTCTTTCTTTCTTTACTTTTTCTTTCTTTACTTTTTCTTTCTTTCTTTCATTCTTTTTTCTTTACTTTTCTTTCTTTCTTTTACTTTTCTTTCTTTCTTTACTTTTTCTTTCTTTCTTTCTTTCTTTTTTCTTTACTTTTCTTTCTTTCTTTACCTTTTCTTTCTTTCTTTACTTTTTCTTTCTTTCTTTCTTTTTTCTTTACTTTTCTTTCTTTCTTTACCTTTTCTTTCTTTCTTTACTTTTTCTTTCTTTCTTTCTTTCTTTACTTTTTTCTTTCTTTCTTTTCCTTTTTTTTTCTTTCTTTTCTTTTTTCTTTCTTTTTTTCTTTTTTTCTTTTTCTTTCTTTTTTTCTTTACCTTTTCTTTCTTTCTTTACCTTTCTTTCTTTTTCTTTTTTTCTTTCTTTCTTTCTTTTTTTTACTTTTCTTTCTTTCTTTCCTTTTCTTTTTCTTTCTTTCTTTTTTCTTTCTTTTTTCTTTCTTTCTTTTCTTTCTTTCTTTACTTTTCTTTCTTTCTTTACCTTTTCTTTCTTTCTTTACTTTTTCTTTCTTTCTTTCTTTTTTCTTTACTTTTCTTTCTTTCTTTACCTTTTCTTTACTTTTTCTTTCTTTTATCTTTTCTTTCTTTCTTTCTTTCTTTACTTTTTCTTTCTTTCTCTTTTCTTTACTTTTCTTTCTTTCTTTACCTTGTCTTTCTTTCTTTACTTTTTTTTCTTTCTTTCTTTCTTTCTTTCTTTTTTCTTTACTTTTCTTTCTTTCTTTACCTTTTCTTTACTTTTTCTTTCTTTTATCTTTTCTTTCTTTCTTTCTTTCTTTACTTTTTCTTTCTTTCTTTCTTTTTTCTTTACTTTTCTTTCTTTCTTTACCTTTTCTTTTTTTACTTTTTTTCTTTCTTTCTTTTTTTTTTCTTTTTCTTTCTTTCTTTTACCTTTTCTTTTACTTTTTCTTTCTTTTTATTTTTTTTTTTTCTTTCTTTCTTTACGTTTTCTTTCTTTCTTTATCTTTTCTTTTTTTACTTTTTCTTTCTTTCTTACTTTCTTTCTTTCTTTCTTTCCTTTTTCTTTCTTTCTTTCTTTCTTTACTTTTCTTTCTTTCTTTACTTTTTCTTTCTTTCTTTCTTTCTTTCTTTACTTTTTCTTTCCTCCATTTCCTTGATGTATATTTGCTCCTAACTTCCTCTTTTTCTTTCGTTTTCATCCCTCATACCTTTATTTCCCTTGAATATTTTATTATCTGATTAGTTTTATTATTATATGCCTTTTAGATTCCCACAAGTATCGTTATCTTGGTTGTTATATTCACAGTATTTCGACCGTTGTACGCTACGGTCTTCTTCTTGTGTCTATCGTACCTGGTTAACGTCACAGTATTTTGAACGGACCGTTTTAATCATTCAACCGGGAAGACATCATTCCCATTCTAATTCCCATGCTTAAGGGAGGTAACTCGTAAAAGCTAATATTTTTTCTCCGTTTCTTCCTCTGACCAGAGTATATCATGTTTTTGCACTACGCCTACTTAGGGATTGAATTCATACCTGTCAGTGAATGAGATATTTTGGAACCAACCGTGCGTTCCTTTTATGCATGAAGTAAAGAGTTAAAGACAAAAAAAAATAAAGGATTGATAACTTGTACCTGTTAGAAGAACTAAAATTGGAAAAATTAAAAATGGCAGGGATTTGACAAAATAGATAGATAGATAGATAGATAGATAGATAGATAGATATTCGAAAGAAGGATGGTATAGATGGAATAAAATTCCAATAAACAAAAACACTATTTTTTTAAAGTGCTCAATACAAAGTAGAGCAAATAATAATTATTCAAAAATTATAACATAAACATGTTATAAAATCACTACAAATTAACCATTTCGTTTCAACACTTCTGGTGTCTTGTCAAGTGATGGTGTTGATTGTAAAATAAAAAGTTTTTAAAGAGTTCAAAACCAACCACTACTCCGACAAGGGAAATATTTTTACGTAAGATATAATGGCCAATCAGATTACGAGGATATTATCATTCAAATAACGCGACAACGGACCCTGGTTACAATTTATTAATGCTTGAACATTATTATTTGAATAGATAGGAAATCAGGATAACTAATGAATCTCTAATTTATTATGTAATTAAAAAATAAAATTTACGAATATTAAGCTCTAAGTATTACCATGAATCAACTATAGATAGATACATATGGACAGATTGGGATAGATAGATAGATAGATAGATAGATAGATAGATAGATAGATAGATAGATAGATGTAAATAGACTGGGATAGATACATCGATAGATATGAACAGACTCCCATAGATTGATAGCAAAAATTTGATTAGGACTTTAAAAACAAAAAAAATAGATTAGGGCTTTAAAAACAAATACACTTTTGTAATGTCAACGAATACTCGTTGTCACTTTCGTAATGTTCGTTGTAGTAGAGACTTTGTAATCGCAGATATAACTAAAGTACGCTGCTGAACAATGCTGTTATCAGACGCCTTCGAATAACACTAATAGTATTTGCTCGATAATACTCGCTAGAATATATACATATATATATATATACACACAAACACAAACACAGACACACAAACACACACATAATCTGGGTGATCGTATAGTGATACGAATGGAGAAATAGTATAGTGAATAGGGTAGAGAATAACGGTTCATATAGTAAAAGAGGATAGACTAGAGATGCAGATCATTTAGACCTCACGCGACTTCCTATATATGCGTTTCCTCTATGGTCACGTGATCCACCTAATTCAACAATGGGATCGTCAGTGTTTGCTCACTGGCGATCTACGTTCAAACTCAAGTGTCGGCAGCGACACTTTATTCCTATATAACATACAAACCCATATTTTTATCACTTCAAACGTCATTTTTAGCGGATACTCGTATTTGAGTAGACGATCCGTTTATTTTAAACAATATTTATTTAGTCTATCCGCTTGCATACTCTAGAAAAACTTAATAAAGAGAATTCGAAACTTCTTCTCCGTTTTGATCAGGTGCGCTTTTACCGCTCAGCCACAGCGTGCTTCATAATAAATCAAGATTCTATTTTATCTTAAAGCACACTTACTCGTTCATATTTTTCACGAAACGCATATCTGCTTAGTTTCGTATCCGAAACGGAAACAAAGCAATTTCTAGAGAATGAATGTGTTTTATTTTTTAATCCGAGAGATTTTTTTTTTTACTTTTAATCCGACAGATTTTTTAATTACTTCAAACGCTATATGTTGTAATACACATTATTGTATGTGTATGTATATAAATATACATTTACAGACATACATAAAGGTAATCGTGTGGACAAACACACAAATAACGAAGAAGTGAACGAGGGATATTCACAATATGCACTTTATAAAGGGAGATGTTTGAAGCAGGTAAATACAATGGATTGATTGATTTGTTTCTTTTAGAGCTGAACCCATTCTGGTTTATTTACATTTTTAATATCTATCTTTCTATCTATCTATCTATCTATCTATCTATCTATCTATCTATCTATCTATCTATGTCAGTCTGTTCATATCTATCATTTAATCTATAACAGTCTGTTTACATCTATCTATCTATCTATCTATCTATCTATCTATCTATCTATCTATCTATCTATCTATGTCAGTCTGTTCATATCTATCGTTTAATCTATCCCACTCTGTTTACATCTATCTATCTATCTATCTATGGCAGTCTGTTCATATCTATCGATGTATCTCTTTCAGTCTCTTTACATCTATCTATCTATCTATCTATCTATCTATCTATCTATCTATCTATCTATCTATCTATCTATCTATCTATCTATCTATGTCAGTTTGTTCATATCTATCGTTTAATCTATAACAGTCTGTTTACATCTCTATCTATCTATCTATCTATCTATCTATCTATATATATATATATATATATATATATATATATATATATATATAATACATAAAAGGTTAATGGTCAGTGTTGAATCAGACCAGGAAGCAGTAGTATTAAAAAGTGCTCAATACACGTGTGAAAATATAAAAGAAAAGAAAAATATCATGTAGAGCTTTTAACTTTAAAAATCAGGTGGTGAGATGAATCAAGTAACTTGGTTTCAACCTTACGGCGTCCCCAGGTGATTTTTATCAAATGAACCTTAACGCTTTATTTTAAATATATATATATATATATATATATATATATATATATATATATATATATATATATATAGGTGTGGCATATACCTCCCACATAATGGTAAGACATTAGTTACAAGTTGCGGTAGAAATACCTCCACATTTTAAACTATCACCTGTGTGTTGCTAGTCAACTTAGGTAATAATGGTGTCTTCCTATAGCTAATGTCTTACCATTATGTTGGAGGTATTTCTGGGAAATATATGTGGGAGATATTTCTACTTCACCCTGTACACACAAACACACGCACTCACACAGACACACAGACACACACACACACATAGATAGATAGATAGATAGATAGATAGATAGATAGATAGATAGATAGATAGATAGAGTTAAGTTATGAAAAACTTGGTAATCCGTATGGGTAGTTCCAAGTGGGAGTGTTATCTGATGATCCAGCGTACCTTAAAAGGGCTCTGGGGAAATAAATTATTATAATAGAACCTTAAAATGGTCTGTTTTTCAATATATATATATATATATATATATATATATATATATATATATATATATATATATATATATGTCCAATGGTGTTAATTTCATTTTTCTTTATTGTTTGTATTGTTCTCTATTTAATCTAACTTTCCTTTTTCAGGTTTTCTCCTTCTCAACCCCTTCTCTCTCTCTCTCTCTCTCTCTCTCTCACTCACTTTGTCTACAATTCTCCTCTTCGCCCCCTCCCGTTAATTACATTCTTATATTCCCCTATATCTTTAGTCTATGCCTTACACTATTGTTCAGATCATTCGGGCCTTTTACCAAACTATTCCTAGCAATAAAAAAGTAATCACTCCGCAAAATTAACCATCTTTCACAATTAGTCAAACAAAGCAGACGATATTTTACAAAGTGGCCTTTCAACTAAGCAGACGTTATCACAGTCTACTTCGATAGAAAACCCTGTTTGATTTAGGACTGTCGACGTTTAATATCTTCGGTTTTTTTTCCTTTTTTATTTGTCATTATTTTATATATTCCCCTTTTGTCGAATTGACTCCTTTTCTATGAGTTCTTAGTGCCACTGTAGTCACAAGTGACACATTCCTTACACTTAGGGCTCTTTAAAAATATACACACTAAACCAGTTTGGATCATGTCTAACCCCTTTCACTGAAAACTGATGTTTTTTTTTCTCTTTTTTGTTTTGATAAGCGCGATAAAAAATCTAAACTTTTCTGAATAACTTGATATTTGTAACAAAATAAAATCTTAATTTCCGTATATTTTACACTAAAACATCTGCAAATAAATTAAGAATTAAGAAGAATATTTATTTATAAATGAATTTGTTTTTTGTTTTTTTTTTTTCATGCTAGGCTATCTACTTCTGTTTCTACTTTTGGCTATAATAGTCTTTATATTGAGAATCAAAAAAAGAGAACTGAAATTTCTTGTACACATCATGAGGAAGAAGGGTATGGAGAATTTGATACTCACAGGACGTTTCGAAAGAAAAACCTACAGAGAATAGCAGCGGACCACCTACCTGGTGATATTGAGGGAATTGAAGACAGAACGGGGTGCTTGGCAAAGGGACAAACTTTACTAAGGGTTAAAAGTGATAGGAGGTTGTGGAGATTCATGTTCGCCCATAAGAAGAAGAAGAAGAAGAAGAAGAAGAAGATTCTCTTTATATCAGGTCACTCTACGAGCGCAGCTGGTGCCATGTAATCCAGCAGTAACTGCCGCATGATTAGGTCATCTGCGACTGAACTAGTTTCCGCAGCAGGTTTTTTTTGGTGGGGACAGTGATTAGACACACAGCAAAATTTAAAAAAAAAAACGAAAAAAAAAACACAGATGAATCTACTTGCTGGGTCAACGGCCGCCTAACGCGATAGGGTAGACAGGCCTTCATAGGTATGCACTCTACCAGTGCAGTGATGACACAGTATCGCTGGGCGGAGGGCTTCATAGACTGAAGTCAACGAACAGGGTAGAGAGTTTCCCCGATGGAATCAAAGACCACCTGTCCGTGAACAAGTCTCGCCTTCAGATCAGATGACATCGACCGTGGTTTGACATGGGAAAGACACCGCTGGGTCTTTCTTGCCCAAGGCACGCTGCTGCGTGTAGCGATATCAGTGTCAGCTGATATCTTGTTAAATGGAAAACAGCTGGCCTGTCACAAAAATGGTTTTGGACATTAATTTTCCCCGGTGATTATCAGCGAAGTGAAGTGAACTTCACAAGTACCATGGCAAGCCACTCGGACAAACAGGATCACTGAATGAATATGAATTACTTTTTTAGACAACGATGGCAAAACAAAGAACTCTCCTCTCTACAAGACAGTGGCCCCTACCCGCGAAAAAGGAGAGTCCTTTCTATATTACTAACCTAACAACCACTCAAAGCAGAAGTCACTGAGGGTTTTTTTTTTTTAAGCAATTCACCCCAAGCCAAGGCGGGAGTGTCACTAGCACGCAAGGGGTCACGGAGGATTGAGAACAAGAGTAAAGGGGCGTGTTTCTGGAAAAGATTAAGAGAAAGACGGGGAACAAGATCAATATATCAGAAGATGTCGATTGACATTACACTTGTATATTTGAAAATTATACTTATCAGGGAAGCAAGTAAGAGGAAGGGAGTTGCACAGACGGGAAGTGCCAGGGAAGAAGCTGTTTGAGTAGAAGAGACGTTACATTTAACTGTTTCGGCAATGAGGGTGGGACTGAGATGCAAGCCTAGTAGCTCGCATAAATTCATGGAGTCTGGGAACCAGCGAAAGTAGAACAGTCTATGCCATCGAGCGAAATAAAGGGTTCAGTTCGACATTCCAACAACCTGAAGAAGGCCGGAGCGTACAACGGCTGAAACCTTGTGATGAATATGGCAACAAAGATGAGGATGATAGTCCGAACAATGTAAATAATATACGTCCAAATACTTCCTTTTTTTTAGTTATTAAGTTAAAAGAAGGTTTCCGGTAGATGGTGCTGTGTTGCCATGTCAACAGCGTCTACCATATACTTTAAACATAATGACTCAAAAACGAAGGTGTTTATATGGACCTTTGTCCCTGTTTTGGTGTGAAAACAGACTAATCAGAAATGGACACGGATGAAATTTGTAGAGATTTTCCAAGCGTTGCTTAGATGTGGCACAAGGCCGAAAGAATGGGGCACCCAGTGAAGATCGAAATCACGACTCGTAATTGTTCTAACCAGACGAGCTTGCTAACCATTACACCACCTCAAGGTGCCCAGAGATTTTCCAAGCGTAGCTTAGATGTGGCACAAGGCCGAAAGCAAGGGGTATCCAGTGAGGATCGAACTCACTTTTCAGTTTATAACTGATCTTGCAAGACAAGCTTACTAACCATTACACCACGCCGATGTGCCCCAAAATGATTTTCTAAGCGCTGCTTAGATGTGGCACAAGGCCGGAAGTATGGAGCACCCAGTGAGGATTGAACTCACTACTAAGTCGTAATATGTTCTAGCAAGACAAGCTTGCTAACTATTACATCACGCCGAGGTACCCAACGGATGAAATTTGTAACCTAGTCCAAGGGTCGGCAACCTTTTGCTAGGTATGTGCTGTTTTAAAATCATTCAGTGTGCTAACAGCATACGTATTTTTTATACAAGTCAAGGTCAACATACCTGTTCTACACTGTATTTTATATAGTAATATATAGTGTATATACCTTAGTATATATTGAAATTGAAACAGCTAAATAACTTCTTTGCGTTGTAGTAGTTATTAGTTTGGACTTCTTTATATCATTTGCGGCTGCGTGCCATTGGAAATTGCTTGGCGTGCCACGTGTGGCACGCGTGCTGTAGGTTGTCGACGCCTGACCTACTCTACAAAAAAATAGTTTCTTTTCTCGCACTTCTCGTTTGTGCAATTCCCTTCCGGCTCCATGCTTTTCAGCCAATTTTAATCTACAAAAATTTAAATGCAATGTCAATCGCTCTCTACTGTCTTCCCGATTACTCTTTTCTCTTCTCGCTTATTATTAATGTTTCTGTTCCTAATTCTTCTACACCCTGTAACCCCTTGTGTCTTAGTTGATTTACTGCCTTGCTTGTGGAATTCCTTTCTGTCTCTATGCTTTCCAGCCAATTTTAATCTACACAATTTTAAATACAATGTCAATCGCTCTCTACAGTCCTCATGATCTCTCTTCTTTAGTTCGTTAGTCCGTAATCCAATATAGCAATACATTAATCAATTGGAACCATATTTTGGAGAGAATTTCAAACAGATAAAGGCTTACAAAGTAAAATTGGTTTTACTAGCTTAGTAGAATAAATTTTCATTAATTTTTGAGAAAAAAAAAATTAAAAGTTTTATTATTTAACATACATAATACTCACACAATCTTTAAAAATAATTAAAATAAAATAACAAATACTTATTTAACACAAATGCAATATCGTTTTGTTTTGTTTTTTTGTTTTTTGCAAATCTCTTCAAGTTTTTATATATACAAGATTTCAATTCCAAATCACAAAACCAATTGGAATTTGATTCCAGAAAGAAATATTTACGCATGGCCAGTTATATGTTGCATGCTCAAGAGTAAGAAATCTTAAGAATTTATTCTTCGCCGTTAAAAAGGTAAAAAAATTAATTTTCCTAAAAAATATTGTTTATCATTAAGTCCTATAAAATTAAATCAAATAAAAGAAATTATTAAGCCGCGAAGTATTGTTTTAGACAAAGTATTTTCCAAATAAATCAGCTCATTCAAATTTCATCGAGTGGTCTGAGAAATTGAACGAAACGTAGTTTGTAGATCTCGATTAAAAATGTTAGCGACAAATTCAGCTAAATACTGTGAGAATTTCAATACGCTGACGTGTGTTGTAAAAAAATTCTAGTAATGAAATTGGGGCTCGTATTGCTAAAGTTTTAAATCCCCAGGTGAGTTTTGGGATACCATGTATAAAAGTAGAAATTTAAAAATAGTTGAAGCAAATAAGGAAAAAATTTACAGTCCACAGAGAAAAATGAATAACGTTTATTTTTTGTTTTTGTTTTTTTACTTGTTTTTTTTTTTGTTTGTTTGTTTTTGTTTTTTCATTTCATATTCATCTCCTAAACCTTTTATCCAGAAAGAAATCTTGTTTATTTTAGCCTTAAAACAGGACAAAACATTTGAAGAAACAAGTGAAATACAGCTGGGGACTGAAATATGAAAGAAACATTGTTTTGTTTTGTTTTTATCAGCGGAAGCATACGCTGGTTAAAACAGGGGTAATGCGACTGTGAAAACGAACCTATTCCCAAGCAACGAGCGCACACATTGCGGACTGATATTTTGTAACACGAGATACGTCTGCACCTGTGCAGAGGTTGTTAAGGAAAGGGAACGACACGGCAAAGATGACACAGAAATGCAAAGCATCTATCATTTTACGACAGAATTCTTGTGCAGATAGAAACAAGGCGAGGGGAAATAGTATTGCACAGACTGGTCTGCAGAGAGCAGATATACCTATTTATACACGCATCCTAAAGTGCACATATAGGGTGGCACTATGAAGAATGGGGGACGGGTTAAAAGATTATTCATATATATGTTCATATGACTCATCAATATTATATTTAGGTGTATAGCACAGGAACATCAGTAATTCAGTTAGATAGATAGATAGATAGATAGATAGATAGATAGATACGAACAGACTGGGATAGATAGATAGATAGATAGATAGATAGATAGATAGATAGATAGATAGATAGATACGGACAGTCATAGGTAGATAGATGGAAAACAACAGTCATAGATAGATAGATAGATAGATAGATAGATAGAAAAAGACGGAAATAGATAGGAACATACTGAGATAGGAACAAACTTAGATAGATAGATAGATAGATAGATAGATAGATAGATAGATAGATACTGAGAAAGACAGACAGCCAGAAAGAAACAACCAACCAAACAAACTGAGACAAATAGATAGATAGATAGAAGATAGATAGATAGATAGATAGATAGATAGATATGAACGTGAATAAGATATTTTTATGTACTGAGAGAGACATACATACATACATATATATATATATATATATATATATATATATATATATATAGCACAGGACCATCAGTAATTCAGATAGATAGATAGATAGATAGATAGATAGATAGATAGATAGAGAGATAGATACAGACTGAGAGAGAGAAAGAGAGAGAGAGATGGAGATAGAGAGAGGATGGTTTAAAGGACGTATAGAACTTATAAATATTGCATATTCAATAAAATTTATGCTGTAGATTGACGCAATTATTAGTCGCTATTCTCAGTGCTGCAGAATTCTTTAACCTAATTTCCCAAGAGAAAAGTGCCGATTTACTTCAGGAGTCAGCTTCCAAATTCCTGGCCTTCATCCGATGGAAACTCGAAATTGTTTCATCTTGTAAACTGTCAACTAATTATATCGTAACAAGATACATGCGTCACGTGGTACACAATTCCTCAATGAAAACCTAACTCACTCGTTATGAAACGAGCGAAACTTTAATCACAACGAATATGCACACTATCCTGTAGAAGACCTCGAAACTTCAATATCTGTCTATATCTCTGAGATGAGGTATTATGATTACTTACATTATTTACATTATTACATTGTTATCCTCATCTTCATTGCCATATTCACAACCGGTGACACATGGCCCAGTGCATAAAGATGTTGGTTAGATCCAGTGACTAGATCCAAACAGTTGTGAGTTCAATACCAGGCCACAGCATTGGTGAACCAAACTTGAATTAAAGGGAAATAATTAAGGCAGCCTGAAGAAGCATGGCACGTGGAACTAGAACAATCTAACCAGATGGACGAAATAAAGGGTTCGGTTCGAAATTCCAATCTCCTGAAGAAGGCCGAAATGTTGTGAATATGGCAACGAAGATGGCGATCACTGTCCAAATAATGTAAGTAACCTCGAAACTTTTTTCTGTGGATACTGGCAAACTGCTGAAATTTATATATTGCAGGTTCTTATATATAATTGTATACTTTGGCAGCAACCCGTCTTTTATATAGGTTTCATTGAAGACAACTGATAAGACACTGCGATTAATATTCCATCATCCTTTGTTTCTGTTAAATAAATAATAAATAATGAAATAATACATATATATATATATATATATATATATATATATATATATAAGTGAACATTGAAGGCAACACTCAGAGGTGACAAGCTAGAGGCAATCGTCAGGTCGCGATTGCCCCTGTTTCATGCTAGAGGCAATCGCGGCCTGACGATTGCATCTAGCATGAAACAGCCTGTCGCCTCTGAATATTGACTTCAATGTTCACTTTTATATTTATATTTTCATACACCCTATCTCTGATATTGAGCACTTTGTCCCATAAATATAGCACACCTTAAAACTATATTCCTTGATATATATATATATATATGTGTGTGTGTGTGTGTCGCAAAGTACATTTTTTCTATGAACAAGATGGAGCCGTCAGCGATGTGATATTCCTGGGTTCCTCAAGAATTTCGTGTGTCTCCACATCGTATTCCCTCCCTGCAAGCGACCCAATCAGGGCTGATCGGCCGGTTCGTACCAAATAACTATTTACAAATCATTTTACGCACAAAGCAACAGCTAGCACAAACGAACGGCTATTCTCTACAAGTTAGTTTAACAAACCTTAAGTTTAACGACTAGTTAAACCTAAACAACTGTCACTATGTATACAGCTGGAGTTTCGGGGAAAGGAAACCTTACCTATATTAAAAAAAAAAAAACGGGCATGAGGTCCCTCGCTGATTCACCGAATAAAGCACACTCCAATGCAACCCTGAATTCACGTCCATCCGTCAGTTTGAGAGATAGACACAAATTGATAGCAATCACCTACAAGAAAAGGCGATTCGCACACCTAACAAAAAATACTATAAAATAAAAACATAACGGCTATTAGTCTAAAGGAAACGATTATTTATCTACAAGTTAGTTTGAAGAAATTTAAGTTTAACTGCTAACTGGCCTAAACAACAATCATTATGTATGCAGTTGGGGGATGAGAGGAGGAAAAGAAATAAATCAAAAAAAATAAATGACTAAATGATTAAAAACAAACAAGAATGAAAAGAAAAAGAGAAAGTAAAAGACATAATGAAAAGAGAAATAGAAATAAAAAGAAAAAAAAAAGAAAAAGAGGAAGAGAAATGAAAAAAGAATAGTAAAAGACAAAATGAAAAAAGAAAGTAAAAGACAAAATGAAAAGAGAAAGTAAAAGGCAAAAGAAAGAGTAATGAAAAGAGAAAGTAAAAGAAAAAGAGAAATGAAAAGAGAAAGTAAAAGATAAAAGAAAAAGAGAAATAAAAAGAACAAATAAAAGAGAAAAGAGAGAGAGAAATGAAAAGAGAAACTAAAAAACAAAATGAAAAGAGAAAGTAAAAGACAGAATGAAAAGAGTAATGAGAAGTGAAAAGAGAAAGTAAAAGAAAGAATGAAAAGAAAAAGAGAAATGAAAAGAGAAAGTAAAAGAGAGAATGAAAAGTGAAAGAGAAATGAAAAGAGAAAGTAAAAGAGAGAATGAAAAGAGAAAGAGAAATGAAAAGAGAAAGTAAAAGACAAGAGAGAGAGAGAGAGAAATGAAAAGAGAAAGTAAAAGAAAGAATGAAAAGAGAAAAAGAAATAAACGAAAAAGAGAAATGTAAAGAGAAAGTAAGCGACAGAATGAAAAGAGAAAGAGAAATAAAAAGAGAAATAAAAGAAAAAGAGAAATGAAAAGAGAAAGTAAAAGAGAGAATGAAAAGAAAAAGAGAAATGAAAAGAGAAAGTAAAAGACAAAATGAAAAGAGAAAGAGAAATGAAAAAAAAAATTAAAGTGTGTATGTGTGTGGGGGGGTGTCCTCCATCTTTCTTTTCTAATGCAGTTGCTCCCTCTATTTAACCATAACTACTTTGCTGTTTTCTCGGCACTCTCTGGTACATTTTAAATGGCTTTATTTTTCTTATTCCTTGTCAGACCAAAACTTGTCAGGGTACTGATTAAGGATCTTGCCCAGAATCCTCTACACCCCCACCTCCATCGGTGTGCAGCTTGTTTCCCAGCCTTTCTTTCTGCGCTCTTCCACTAACTTTTGATATTTTCTTCTCCCCCTTCCGTTTGCTTCTTGTACGTTGTCCACCCAAGTTACAGTCAATTCCGACATAATTATTTCTTTTGTTGAGTTAAAGAAACTGTGTCTGGGCGTAAGGTTGTCTCTACTATGTGAGTGGCAAATTTCAGTTGACTCTCCAGATCCACCCTTCCATCTGTCAGCCTTGTCATCATCTGATGAAAGCATATTGGGTGTTTCTTGTCGTTTCTGTGATGTTTTTTTTCCCACTCCGGCCTTAATGAAATTTATTGTTCGTCTGTTCAGTTTTAGACTGTTGGAGCGAATCGCGGTATCAATTGTGCCTGCAATTGTCTTTAATATCTTGTCGGGGTACCAGCGATAACGTCTACCAGTCAAAGCTTTAGAGCACCTGCTTTGTATATGCTGCAGTGACCACTCTACCTGCACACACTTTGAAAGCTGGGAACCCCGTTTTATTCCAGTTGTGGGGCTTGACACTACATCGTATACTGCCTGCACCAAGAAATTTAGTTTCTGAGATGAGGTATTATGTACACTATTTACATTATTCATACTATTGTCCTCATCTTTGTCGCCATATTTATTACAACGTTTCGGCCGTTGTACGCTCCGGCCTTCTTCAGGTGGTTGGAATGTCGAACTGAAACCTTTATTTCTCTCACTGGGTTAGACTGTTCTAGTTCCACGTGCCATGTCTAATGTTTATCAGTTATCTACTACTTAATTCCCTTCTCCAAGTTCTCCACTGCCTTAAACCATGTATTGAACTCACATTCTTTGGGTTCTGTTACTGGATCTAATTAACGCCATGTGCCCCCAAAATTTATAAAAGTATTTTTGATAAACACACAGACCCCCCCATATATATATGTGTGTGTGTATATATATATATATATATATATATATATATATATATATATATATATATAGTGAGTCTTTTTTTATATTTACCACACTACACAGTACGTTATGACAACGTTTGTGGTCAGGCGTACAAGCGAATCTCTGTCTTCCTCGATCCATAGTTTGTGGTGCCATAGATCCTGACTCAGCAAATAGCATCAAGGTTTAGATGAATTGGCTGCCTTCGGACTGGAAACGCAATCTAATACAGCCTTGCAACCTCGCGTCCATTACCATTCGCGCGGTCGTATGCAAAAATCATATCTGCCCGCTAACGATATGAATATCCTGCCATAGTTAAACGGAACACTTATCAGCTAGCTTACTACTACGTAGGTTAAAGGGCGTGGAAATGAGTTAAAGACAAACCAGCTACAGATGTACACGAACGACAAATGGAACCTAGTCTAAATTGGAACACAGCGCCAACTAATGTAAACTTTCTTTAAACTTAATAACTCAAAAACCAAGGTTTTATGGGCATGTTTATGCGGACTTTTATCCTTGTTTTGATGAGAAGAAGCCAACATAAACTTTGTAAAATTATTTTTGCTACAGCCTATATATATATATATATATATATATTAAGAGAGAGAAAGAGAGTTAGAGTGAAAAAGAGAGAGAGAAAGAGAGAAGTGAATACTGGTGTATATATAGAGTCTTTTTGTGCGTGTTACTCAAATAAAGTACGGTGGCTCGCCCATTTTGATAAATATTTTTACTAGTTTTTCTCTAGTTGCCTTAATACCTTTGGCTAGGAAAATCCTGTTTCTTTCTATGTCACAGCTTTGCCCGTGGTCAGGGCTGGGGTTTTTGGCAGTCATCTACCTTAATGCTGACGCACGACAATTTCTTTTCTCACCTAACTTGTATATCATTTTTCTTATTGGCCTCTCCCTAGAAGCACATTGAGGTCACAGACATAACCGCAAATTAACTGCCGTCACAGACGCACGCATATGCGTCGTTGTAACGAAGGACCCTCTGCTGTAATGAAGCGGTTTGCGTTTAATATCTTAACATCTCAAATCGCTCTTTAAAAGTTCATCCATGTTACTTCCTTGTACATATATGAAAAATATTTGGGTTTGAGTTCATCGATATGTAGGCAAAGATACCTTTATCAACTCTTCTCATTTTTGCCAACTCAACATTTTCATCTTCTGGCTCATAATATTCTTGGATTGCAAACCAGAGTGGATAATCCATCTTTTTTTTTATAGATCATTGTATCTTTTCTCAGAGTCTACATGAAGACCTTTAAGATGGAAAATGCATGCGCCAATGAATTCTGATATTCTGTTGTAGGCGAAGTGGTGATGAATATTTGAAATGATGCCAATTTTCCTTCTCAAACTGTTTTTAAATAGCTACGAATTTTCTGTGGACCACTAGAAATGCTATGTGGACCACCGGTGGCCCACCTAGACCACGCAGAGAATCACTGTGCTAAAGGAAAAAATTTTTCAAATAGGGGGCCGCTTGAGGTACAGTTCATAATAAAGCAGGCAGCACTACTAAAAAAAAATTTTTTCATTACAGATACGGCAGCCATTTTCCCAACCAAAGAGCATGCGCATAAGCATCTGCCTTAGAAATGGAGAAAAGTTAATGTTTTTCTTTAGAGAAATGATTCCTTCTATAATTAAAAAAAGAAGTCTTGATGTAATATTATCACTGATGATAGAGCGATTTACACACAATGCTGAGTGTGATTTGTTTCTAATTTAATCGTTTGGCGATTAAAAAAATTTTAAAAATATATTTATTCTCTAGAGAAAAATATTTATCATTAACGTTTCCGGTTTCTGAAGCAAAAGATTTATGCACTTATGATCTTCCTTAGTGAAAATTGCCAATAGTTTAAAATGTTGACAACGTTACCTTCAACGAAATGTTACAAAATTCAAGACATGATGTACCTAATCATTATTTATGTATGTAGCTATGCATCAGTGAACTAGTAAAAACAAAGGGAAATATTTTAATAACATAATTTTTGTCATTAAATTAGGCGTGCCATTCAGGATCCCAATCAGGCCTCATGTGGCATGTTGTGTTGGAATTTTTGGGTACCTTTTAGTACTAGTGAGCCAGCCAAAATGAGCTGGCTCATTTTATAGTCCACCAAGAGAAGGGTTAACCAATCAGAAAGCTCAAAATATCCAATCCCATGTGTATAAAGGCAGCCATTTTGTTTTTTTCTCCCAAAATATCTTCACTGCCAACCTCTGATATCGAAGACTTCAAGAATTACTTAACAACTGCTACTTTCTCCGAATCTTCACTGCCAACCTCTGATATTGAACACATTACGGACTTTACTGGATTCTACATTCAGAGACTACGGCAAACACGGTTAACGTGTTGGTTTCAGTTTACCCATAACCGTACTAAACTATGACTTCAAGTACAGCTATACACGTTCAGTACTCATTTTAGCCCACACCGCAAATCTACTCGAAGACATAACGATGCTCATCAATCATGTTCGTTAGATGAGTCGCTAAGTCGTTAGTAAAATATCAAGGAAACACTCCACTTATCATGAATTCAGTAAATATACAAAAATCAAAAGGCATGTAAGACAAGAGTATATCTTCTCGCCGGACTTATTCAAACTATACACTAAGGCGATTCTGAAAGAATTAGAAGTACTACCGGGATTTATCATTGTCTAGCAGTATAACCCGTCTTCGACCGGGTGTTACATTACTGGGAATTTTTGTCGTTCACTTGGAGCAGTTTAAGTTTAAACTCAGCCCACCTGAAAATCAATATTAGTAACAACATTTGGATGCAACTGAGGCACATCCCCAAATGGAGGGGATTAACAATTTGAATGGAGGGTGGCCCTGAAAAGGGCCGTTTTTGCGTTCAATCTTGCAAGGGAGGAACCTCTTCCATGGACAGTCATAATAATAATACACTATAATTTTTATTTATAATATAATTTTTTTATAATTTTAATAATCTTTTGCATTAGATTTAAACTCATTGAATTGATTGTACGCTGTTATTTATAGACATTAAATTTTGCCTATGATTTTCGCGCAAAGTGTAAAAAAATCATTTTTTTCGATTCTTCACCTTCAAGGTTGGAATTTTTTCGAGTCAATTTGGGCTCAAAACCGGCACTGAAGAATTATCTATCAAACAAAAGACAATTCCTCGAAATTGGATGAAAACTGTGGAAACGCATAATCTGATCACACACGCACACACACACACACACAGAGATTTTGAGAATTATAGATATAGATGTCCACAATCATGACAACATAAGATATGCAGATGACAGTGTTCATAGCAGACATAGAAAGTTATACTACAGAGAACTAATACAGAAGGCAATGAAGGAAAGCAAGAAGAAAGGACTAACCCTCAATTGCAAGAAGACAATATATGGTTGTTAGCAAAAGGAGCAGCCCATCATGCAAACTGAAAATTGTAGATACAAATTGCATTTTGGGTTGCTCCTTTTGCTAACAACCATGTATTGTCTTCTTGCATTTGAGATTTTTTATTTTAATTTTCTACTACTTCATTATGTGAATTAGGCTTCTCAACCCTAAATAACATCAAAAATAAGAAACGAGAAAGACTGCGCTCAACTGAAGAAGGAATGAGGGCCTGCTTATTCGACCAAACATTAAAGAAATTGCGACATTTTCATTTGCTCCTAGGTGGGCCATTGCTTAAAAAGGTTGAGAAATACTGCGCTAATTTATTGAAACCTATTTTTAAATACATTTGATTCTAAGGTAGAACATAAATATGATACGATCAAGTCTCCTAGGTAGGAGTACAGAAACAACACTTTGGATTTTCTCCATTCCTGTAAATATCATTATTTAAAGGTTTGTTTATTATGTCAACTGCTCTATTGCCTTGTTTAATATGGTTGTTGTGTATTGTGAAATCTCAAGACAAAGTGACCATTACTATCATTTCAGATGGGTGGTGGATTTTATTCATATTATTTTTTTTTGTATAGCTGTACGTTATAATGTCAACATATCTTTCAATAAAGGCATCAACTTACCGTATCAGAATCTATGTGTAAATTCATTTGATGCTAAGGTAGAGCAGATAAATATATTACGATCAATAGTCTCCTAAGTGTGAGTACAGAAACAACACTTTGGATTCGCTCCATTCCTTCAATTATCATTATTTCTACATTTTGCTATATATATATATATATATATATATATATATATATATATATATATATATATATATGTATGTGTGTGTTTGTGTGTGTTTGTGTGTGTGTGTGTGAGTACTAATGGTACAGC